TAGTAGTAGTAGTAGTAGTAGTAGTAGTAGTAGTAGTAGTAGTAGTAGTAGTGGGGTGGGAATAACGCATGCTGATTGGGCTGCATGTTACCATGGTCGTGCCATGAGTGCTGTGCGCCACTGCATTGCAGCACCAATCCGTTTGGCCTGCATAGATGGCTCATGTTGTCGTGTAGTGTAGAACTCAAAGCTAACGACAACAAATTATATAGTTTGTAGCATTTGATAGCAATCTCCTTGGTATCGTTGTGTGGAACGGATCCCATGGTGCTGGTATGGCACAGGGGGTCTTTCAGTGTATTCACGCAGTCACTTTGTTTGCTTTTCATTGAACCCCATGGGTTGAGAAGAGTCCAAGCCGCCTCTTGCAGTGCTGCCTACAATATGCTGGGCTTGGTTCAGGTGCGGAGGGACCAGCTGTTTGAAGCACTTTGTTCAAAAGATTGCCCTGACAGCAGGAACTCACAGGCGGCTTTGCAGTTGGTCTTGGACTCAAAGTCACGAAAGGTAGCGGTTACGCTACCTGAGTTTTCCTTTTGCTTTAGCAAAAATGTATTATACTCAGAGCTGGAGCCTATCTCTCAGAGAAATGGTCCCCGACATCTTCGTTTGATGGCCGGGGGGGGGTGAAAGAGTGACTAGGGCGTACACGGTAGAGGTGCAGACCGCTAGTGTCTTTTATGCGCAGAGTCTTATCCTCTTGCTCTTTGAGCCTTGAAGCAGTCAAGTATGGACACACTATATCGGCTGTTGGAGTGGAACCCTGTACAGGTAGGCTCTACTTTTCAGCAGGCACAAGATTCATGTCCACTCCTAGCTGATTGCGTATGTCGCACACTCTTTTTCTACTGCAAGGCTAAAACAGTCCAGCTAGCTCTAGCAACTTAAAAGAAAACTACGGTGCCATGTACTTACCTAATCCAGTGTGTTTCACACTACAGAGAAGGTAATCTCAAAGCTACTAAATACAGTGAGGGAGCAATAGCTGACTCACCTCAAGTACAAAATCAAAACGATAATGTACCTCGGCTGGAGACTGTATTTTTCACAGGCGGAGATACCATGTACCGGCGCTCACTAGCTCTTTATGGCCTGAGCTAAATCAAACTAAAAAGGGAAAGCGGTTTTTTCTCTACAGAGACCTATAAAAGAATCAAACGACACTCGCGTAACGAAGAACTAAAAATTCAAGACCGCACAAATTGCAATGAATTAGGATGCCTTGCAAAATGCAAGGAGCGTACGGTCCGAGGAATAATCTTCTCGTGACGTGGTCTCGACCGCTTTCATCCACAGACAAAACAAAACTGCATCAAAAGGACTCTCTTTCACATTCACATCAAAAACACAAGAAGGAGATACCGGCAAATGTATGTACAAAAAAATCTTGCACTACAATTGCAAATCATGAAATGACTTAATCATCAACCATGACTGGTTGTCCATTAGAGGTCATCTCAGAAAAGCGGCTGTAATAGATATCATCAGTTATGCAAAACTGTCCATACCTATCTACATGCTAAAGCGTATAAACCTGGAATGCAGGAGTATCTTCTTTGATAAAAAGTTTCTCCTCATTGCAAACCAGAATTTATTAAAGCTTCAGCCTGGCAACTTAAAGTCAAGCCTGGAAGCAAAGTATCAACTGTAACCAGAAGTATCTTCACTTCCTAGCCATCATTTAAATTTCAGCCTTCGCTCAGGAATTATGCCGCTGCAGACGATGAAGCTGCTTGATCAGAAGTTGGCGGCCTTCCTTTCTTTCTATTCTGCTTCTGTCTCTCCTTCCTCCGCAAGTTCGCCTCATGAAGAGTTGGTCCCATGCGATACTGTCTTCTGTCTCCAGATGAAAAGGAAGCTGGTCTGAGTGAAATAAACATTGGACCATGACTGTCCTCGTCAGTGGGCCTTGAGCACATAACCTCCGTGTCAATCATAGCAAAGTTCTCTGAAAAATTACAGATGAACTCCTTCGTGCTCACTGTGGAATTTTCATATTCCTCTTCGCTCATTGAATGACCCCATTCAACAATGGTAGACAAACGTGTATCGCCAAGCTGTGATCCTTGGTATTCTTCTTTTTCAACAGTAGAATATTCTTCCCAGAGTTTATCAAAGTAAACTTCACACTTCTTGAGGACCTGTGAAGTTGAACTGTAAAATGTTCTGGGAATAGGTGCTTTGATACCAGGATCTGCTTTTACACGAGCTTCTGAAAACCTGCGGATCCAATGCTGCATGGTGCTGTAATAGTAGTTAGCCATTGGCTGCCTTTTGTACCCAGACATTCTGTAGGCCAAACTATTTGCATCACCAGAAATGATGTCCACCTCATAGACAAAACACTCGTAAAGCATCAATGCTGTCTGTTCTCCTGTCAGTAGGTGGGCATCCACAGCACGGTGTGTATCAACATGATAATTACAGACTCTGATGGTATGCATGTTCGCTCGAGTAAGTGGAACACGCTTGTCCTCAGGACCATAGTCATCAAATTCAAAGTCTGCATCCTTGAAATCTTGACGAGGCCTTGTTTCTCCAAAACAAATCTCGTAGATAGCCCAAGTTACATCACGCTGTTCACAGTGACCAAGTTCTTGATCATGTCCAGCAATGATCTTGACATATCCACCTGGTGCCAATCTAGCCATCACTGCAAGATTCTCCCAATCATTGAAACAAACTGTCCAATTCTTTTGCTCAATAAATTCCTTGGCAGGAACAAGAAGATGAGCTTCCTGGAGAATCACGACATGTGCACGTAAAAAGAAGAGCATGTTGAAGAAAAGGTTGTTCTCAAATTGCTCATTCTGAAGTGACATGGCGCTCTGTTTGCGTGGCCTCATTGCACTATCAAGTCCTTGGAGAAACCTTGGTGTGGTGTACTTCTGACCACGAACCATGTTGCCATAGTTCCAGGATAAAAATGTCAAGGACTCTGAGCTGGCCAATAAGTTAGTTCCATATGGTTCTTCTATTCTTCCCTTGAGGAACCTTCTGCACAGCTCTTCATAGAAGGTGACAAAGTCCCAACTGGGTCCCTTAGGATCATATGATTCCAGTTCCTTCTTAAGTTCCTTCTTCGTATCCTCCAATTCTTCTCGAGCATGTTTTGCCCTTTCAAGGGCCTTTGGATCGACCTGATACTTGCCATCCAAATGAATGATGCGATCATCATTGATAAAGAATCTCTTCAAATCATGCTCTGGTTCGTGTTCATAACAATCAGGTGGAGGTACTGGACAGATATTACGAATGGATCGAACAAAATCATTCTCGTTGATCCTCGACTGATAATGAGGATGGGAAATCTCACCTTTTCTGAAACAAACATGGTTCAGCAATCTCGCGTGAGTTTCCCTGAAGCATAGTTGATAAAAGCCAATACCTGGATCTCCTGTAAGCTCTCCAAGCAACTTCAAAGGTGAAGTATGCAACTCATAGGTATCGTCAACTTTTGTTGTATCCTTTTCAGCAACTACTTCAGATGGAAAAGATGCCTGGATTTCAGCCTCCAATTTCTTCTCTCCATCATCCTCTCTGACCTCTTTTATTTTCTCCACCGCCTCTTTCTTCTCTTCCATGGTTGCATCATCCTGAACTTCTTCATGAAAATGAGGATCAGGTATTTTACTCAGGCGGCTTTTCTTAGATTTCGGCAGACGTGGAGTATCATCAAGGTTAGCATCCATCTCACCTGATGGTAAGTGCGATGCAGCCGAGTCCTCACCTATCTCTCTTGACAGAAAGTGTGGTGTTGACTCCTCCTTGGCTTCCTCCTGGTCCACTTCCATCTTTGGTTCCTCTGAAGGAAAAACACCTGCATTCTCATCAAATATTTCTTCTTCCCTTTCAGGTTCAACTGCAGGATCTTCTTCAGGAACTTCCTCTTCCATATCCTCATCTTCTAGAAGTGCCATACTTCCAGTATAGATTCCACCAGCGATAGTGGAGACTCTTGTATAAGGAGGAACTTCTTCACCTGCATCAAAGGCTTGTTCTGCAACATCCTTGGTGAGCAAGTCCTCTACAAGATTTTCTCCCATGGTTCTTGGAAGAGGTCCTGAGGTCTCATAAAAATCTGTCCTCTCTGAACTGAAAGCTTCTGTCGCCTTCTCATTGTCCTTTTGATGCCTGAACAGGTGAGTAATCTTCACAGCTTCTCCCTGTAGCACCTGATCGCCTTCTCTATACTTGTCGACAATGGAGCGCCATACTGGAACATTATCATCATCGAAATCAAGCTCCATATCATCTGCCAACAGGTATGAGATGTTTTGAGCTGCCTGTTCTTCTTCTTCATCACGTTCTTTGGCAAGCTCCTCATCCTTCTGGATCTTGAAGATACCCTTCAGGATTTCTTGTAGTACCTTTAAGTTCAGCTTCGATGATGGCTCATACGTCCCTGAACTTACAGGCTCAACTACAACACGAGAGCAAGAAATCGCCTCCAAAAACTTGGAATTGTATTGGCGTTCAAACTCTTCCTTCTTGATCATCTCATACAAGGGATCAGAAACTGCAACACGCGCCTGAACATACTCACGAAGTTGATAGCATGCATGTTGCACAAATCTACTGTTGGAGTTGTGAAGAAAACTCTCTAAATGATTCCTGTCACGGTCAATCAAATACCACACAATTCTTGCAGAAAAACGGAATTTCTTGAAGTTCATATTAAAATGTGTATGATACTTCTCTGGATCCTCTTCTGCTTGTAAGGCGGCCTCTGAAGTCTTGTAAAGAGGGATCTTTGTGTGTGGATCCAAGATCATAAACTCTTCCCACAAGATCGAATGCTTAAGAACCCACCTGGGAAGCACCTTGACGAAAAAGTCACAAACAAGTTCAGACAAAAGGTGCATGACACGACCAATCTCTTCCTCCTGCTTGAAGCGATAGTGCAATTTGGCAAATAAAGGATTGTTGAATGCTTCCTCCACTGTGTTGCCAAAATTATCCCACTGAGGTTCTGGAATACCAAAGTTCCAACCCAGCAATTTGGGATCTCTGCACATATCTAAGAAACTTGAAAGTTCTGCAGAAGCAATGCCATGGTCTGTCAGAATTTCAGCCCAACGGCGTCCATTCTCCCAAGCACGGATGAAGAAAAACTGTTGGTATCCAGTTTGCGCCAACTCCATCCACTGAGAAATTCCGGGTTCAAAACTCGGTGCATACGTCTTGGGGTCTTCCTCTGTTCCATAAACACTTGGACGTAGCAACTTGTACCTTCTACAAAAATATTCTCTCTGGTGCCTTGTCAACCTGTCCCAATCCCTCACTAGAATCACGTCTTCTCCAGTGCTCTGGAGTACACGTGTTCCTACACGATCATGGAGTGATACCATGCCAATGTCATATATCATCCATGGGTTGAGAACCAGGTTGCTGACATTCTGAATGAACCATGTCATCTCACGCTCAGCAACATGAGCAGAGTCATCTTCTTCATCTTGTTGAGATTCTCCAGAAGTCCTGGC